TGTTGTAAGTGCATATTCCGATTTTTTGAATAGAAAACAACAACATGCAATTGTATTCATCATAAATTGTTTCTGTAGGTGAAGGAAGTTCCATATACGAAACTATGCAGCACGAAGAACATACTTACCGTAAATGGCCAATTTCCGGGCCCTACATTATATGTTAATAAAGGAGACACCATCGTTGTAGATGTTTACAACAGAGGAAAATATAACATCACCATTCATTGGTATTAATTATCGCTCACCATTTCATCACTACTTGAATATTGTAAAATGAAAGGACGTTGGATTAATGTTACTAATGATATTAATTGATGGCATATTTTGACAGGCATGGAGTGTTGCAGCCAAGAAATCCATGGTCTGATGGTCCAGAACACATCACTCAGTGTGCTATTCAACCAGGAGCAAAATTTAGGCAGAAGATCATTTTTACAACCGAAGAAGGAACTTTGTGGTGGCATGCTCATAGCACATGGTTGCGAACAACTGTCCATGGTGCTCTGATTATTTATCCCAAGACGGGAACAAGCTATCCTTTTCCGAAACCTGATGCAGAAATTCCTATCATATTAGGTAATTTTTTTTGAACAACAAAAATAAAAATTTAGGCCGTTAGGCCCAGGGACTTTAGAGCTGTCACATGCCCAGACCGCCTCTTTAATTTCTGATTCTTCAAAAGGTGCCATGAGTGATTCATTTTGTGCCCTTGTTAATTGCTTAAACTCAATTCCTTCTAGCTTTGGTCTTGGCCAACCATCATCCTTAAAAAGGTTTTCATAGAAAGTGGTGATACCTTCCCTGATCTCTTCAACTTTATAGAAAAGTCTTCCATTCACTTGAATGCTATTAATCTTATTCCTTCTCCATCTATTCTCCAAACATCTGTAGAAAAATCCTATGTTTGCATCCCCTTCCTTTAGCTAAGCCTTCCTTGCCTTCTGTTGGTGCATCCTCTCCATAATTCTTAAGTTCTTCCATAACCTGATTGTCTGATTTCTCCTACATTGCACTTCTTCTATTAGTTGTTGAGTCTCAACTTTAATATCCAACTGATCTATAATCTCCTCAGCCTCCTTGATTTGGTTTTCCACTCCGTGGACAAAGCCTCTGCTCCATTCTTTCATTGCCTTTTTCAAGGCTTTCATCTTTTCTCTTAGTTGGAAGCTTCTCCATCCGTTGATCCTTACTGAATTCAATGTCTCCTCCACCATCTGCTTAAAACTTGGTTGCTAAAGCCAAGCATCGAAAACTCTAAATGGCTTCGGACCCCAATCCTTTATCTGGTTCTTTAGTATAATAGGGCGGTGATCTAAAATTGTGCGTTTCAAGCCCCATTGTTTACATTCCTTCCAGTTTAACAACCATTCTTTAGAGACCTGGAACCGATCTAATCTGCTCATTGATGACCCATTTGGATGATACCAAGTAAATTTCCTTTCAATTAAAGCGAGATCAAGCAAACCAGACTCCTCCATGAATTTGTTGAATTCCCGCATCTCCCTAACACTCCCTCCACCACCTTTGCTCTTATGTGTTCCTAAAACAGCCTAAAGTCACCTACCATGCATCAATTACCTCTATTTTCCTGTATCAAGTGTTTGATCTCCTCCCATAAAGCCCTTTCCCATCATATTAGGTAATTAAAAAATAATATAAATTCAAAACAATTTGATTGATTAAATAAAGATTTGGAATGTTTTGGGTTGTTGAAAATGCAGGAGACTGGTGGAAAGAAGATATAATGGAGTTATACGAAATTCTTGAACGTAACGGTGATGACGTTCAATTCAATTCAGAGGCCTTCCTCATCAATGGCCAGCCTGGTGATCTTTGTCCCTGCTCGAAACCAGGTGAAACTCTTTACAATATTTTAGTAAGACATCAATGTTTTCAAACTAAAATAATTATTGATGGTAATATAGTAATAAATGGATGTAATATAATATGAACAAAAAAGTGATTAATATCAGAAACTATTGGAACTAACGGTCTTCACCTAATTTTAAAATAGTTTGGAAACTTTGTTACCAATAACACACCATGAGAAAATGGTTTAAAAAATAGGAAAAACATTAGATGTGTGAAAATTCTTATTAAAATGATTAATACATACTTCAATTCAGTATATCTCACAATATTTACCTATTTAGTAATTAAAATCTATTACTTTTAGTTTTCTCATCTTTAATTCAATTTTTATTGAGTTTTCTTTTTTACAATTTAATTGTAAAAATAAATTTTTAAGCAGTGACTACTTCACATTCAGAATATATCATTTAAAGGTCAATGTTGATTATTACTTGAAACTTCTTTTTTTAATATATTTGCAGAAACTTTTAAACTCAAAGTGAATAGAGGATCGACTTATCTCCTTCGGATAGTCAACTCCATCTTGGTGGATAGCCTCTTCTTCTCCGTTGCCAACCATACTGTCACTGTAGTTGGATCTGATGCTAGCTATCTAAAACCATTCAAAACAAGCTTCATATTCTTACCCGCAGGCCAGACTGTTGATGTCCTTCTAGAAGCCAACCAAAGTCCCAATCACTATTACATGGCCGCCAGCGTGTACTCCATTCGTGATATAGGTGATTACAACAACTCCACCACCACAGCTATTGTAGAATATAATGGAAACTACACTCCATCATCGCCGCCGGTGTTCCCCGATCTTCCTAGCCATAGTGACACAGGAGCAGGTCTTAATTTTACCGCTAGTCTTCGGAGTTTAGCTGATAAGGAGCATCCAGTTGATGTGCCAATGGAAATAAACACACATTTGTTCTATACTCTTTCAATCAACGCTCCATGCAAAAACCACTCCTGCCCAGGTATTCTTTTTTGAAGTATACTTATTTTTTACTAGTTATATACAAAAATATTAATTACAAGATAAATATTATTGAAGTACTCCATGTACTTTATTAATAAAATTTTTCTTTATCAATTAATCAAAAAAATACTATCCTTAATCGGTACATAATTTTGAAATTTTCATATATAATTTTTTATTTGAATTAGCAGAATTATGGGTGAAATTTTGTCCAATATCCATGGATGGCAGGGATTTGTACCATAAAGTTAGTAAAGTTAAATTAATACCATAAATACCATTCATACTCTCTCTTTTTCTATATATATACACACTCATGCACATGCAAGCACACTGATTTGGTTTGAGAGGAGAGAAAGGAAGGGGAGGGAAAGAAATTTCTCTATTAATTGATTCACAAAAAATTGGAGAGCAAAGGAGCAGTTTTC